AGTATCCGTTTCAGAACGGAATGCATACGCTCTACCAGATTAGATTGCGGGTGATGGATCGAGGTGTGCACTACTTTTATTCCACATTTATTAAAAAAGTAGAGGTAAGGCAGCTGGTGAAGACACTATCTATCATTGTCGCATTGGATTTCAGAAGGAGATTCGACGCGTGCAAATATAGATAGCAGTGCGTCCACGACATGAGGGGAATTGAGCTCCTTAAGTGGTATCGCTTCCGGAAATTTTGTGGCTACACAGAGGGCCGTCAGGATGTACGAACAACCTTGCCTTGACTCTGGCAATGGCCCGACGATATCAATTACTAGGCGCCGAAAAGGTTCTGTGATCATTGGCACAAGCTTCATGGGTGTCTTCCACTTGTTCGTGGATTTCCCCGCTCTCTGACAAGTGTTGCATGAGCGTACAAAGTCTTCGATATCCATCCAGCATTTCGGCCAATAAAACTCAAGGGAAACTCTAGCCTTGGTCTTTTTTATGCCGAGATGCCCTGCCCACACGTTTTTATGCGCCAGTTCCAATAGTTGGCGACGATACTTTTGTGGCACCAAGAGCTGCTCATACTTGCGACCTTGCGCATTTGTGTAGCTCCGATACAGGAGCCCTGCTTTCTCAAAAAAGGAAACATCCTTTTCTTTTTTCCCAAGTTTACGCTTTCCATTAGCGCTTTAATCGAGAGGTCTTCACGCTGCTCTCGAATGAGCGTTTCTCGATCAACCCTCGACAGCTCACTCCAACTTTCCGCAACAGGCGAAAGCGTTGCACCCCTCTCGCTCTGACTCAATGGCGTCATGTCGTCTCCTCCGCCGACACAGACCGCGCCAGTCGCTTCGGCTACGGGCCGCTCGAGTGACTGCTCAAATGACTCGCACGGAGGATTTCCTGTCTGAGGTTTCATCGACTCGCCGCCAAGGTCACACAGACCAGCAGCTTTTGCACTTGGTGCTTCGCCAGATTGAACAAGATCAAGTTTCTACGAAAGCTTCCGCGCTTGCGATCGCGTGAGGGCCATGTACGCTAAGTTAGAGAAGAACGATTTACCCTGCTCTTCAAGAAGCTGCTCTGAGTTATTAGAAAATAAATAAGAAAAATGATCGGGAAGTGCGGCAGACACAGCCGCTTCGGTGCGAAGCTTACCGATTGGGCCTTCAATGACAACCATAGCGATTGGTAAGCAAGCACTCTGCTCCTTGGCCACTTGCCTGATCCACGTGCATTCTCCTGTAAAGTCATCTGGAGACACCATCGAAGGATGGACAACGTCCATAGTTGCTGCTGAGTCTCGAAGTGCTCGACATGTTTTCCCATTCACACTAATTTCTTGGAGATACAGCTCCAACAACCGCATGTTCTTTTCCGATTCTCGGATTGTTGCGAAAGCAAACTTTTGCTTACAGTTTATCGCGATGTGCCCTTCCTTTTTGCAGTTGTAGCAGTTTAGCGGCTTCCGTGATTCAAATGCCCGTGTGGTATCAGTGCGTTGTTTACGAACATACTCGATTTCTTCACTTCCGTTTGCCCTTCTCCTACAGTGTCCTTTGTAAGAGACGGGTCCTTCTTGAAATTACGGTGCAGAGCGTGTTTTTGTTGATCAGGTTTCTTTAAAAAGCCCTCTTTTCCTTTCATCCTTTTCATCGCGCACTGCCTTGCTATGCAACTTTTGGCAAGTATAATACTCCTCAGCTAACTCTGCCGTCTTGTTTAGCTGTACCACCAAGTTTGTCCTGCAGCCAAAGCTTAACATCCTCCTCGATGCAGCGGTAGAATCGCTCCAACGCAATGCATTCTACCACTTCATCACAATCGTCATAAACACCTTTGCCCTTGAGCCATTCAATCAAATCGGCTTTAAGACGAAACGCAAAGTTAACGTGTGACTCATTCTCCTTCTTAGCATACCGGAACCTTTGCCTGAAAGCCTCGGGTGACAACTTATAACGTCTCAAGAGCACTTCCTTGACCTCGTCGTAGCTCTCAAACGCTTCCCTTGACAAGCACGTTATCGCGTCGGACACTTCGCTGGGAAGAAGTGCTAACAGTTCTGCGCCCAAAGAGACCGCTCCAAAGCATTTCGCTCACAGACGTGTGCAAACTTGACGAGATACTTCGCCATGTCCTCGCCTACTATGAATGATGGCAGTTGGTCGCGAATTCTATAACCGCTGACCTGAACTGTTGGAGAAGCTACGCTAGGCACCTTGGAACACTGTAAGATAGCCAATTCTATTCGTTTCAACTCGAGGCGTTCCTGTCTCTTGGCCTCCTCACGCTCGCGACGTTCGCGCCTTTCAGCTTCTTCACGTTCGCGAACTTTTACTTCTCGCCTTTCAGCCTCCTCACGGTGTGCTTTGATATCCATCCACCCAGGCCTCATCGACTTCCTCAGCCCACACTCCTTCATCCTTCATGATCTCAAAGGTCGCTTGCTTTCGTTTCGCACGGCCCAAAGTAATGCCGAGTTCCTCTCAAATTTCGGTGACTTCTTTCACTTTAAGGTTCTCCATCGTTCACACTAGCCTCTTGCTGTTTTTCCCTGTTAAGAATCTACTTGCTGTTCCCACTATAAGTCTACTAGCAAGACGAGCAAGCAATTTTTAACACTCCTGTGTTTGCACCCTCCGCATTAACTTTGGCTTCAAAGTGCTTCGACTTGGCTTGAAACGATCAAAGCTCACTCTAATGCTTCACACAGCCCTTCTCTAAACTACTATAACCTGTGCTAGAGTAGTCTGGTGAACTGAGGGGCACTCACCGCATCGATGTCGTTGACACCGGCTGATCCCGCAGCTGCCTACCACTGTTACGAAGACGCGACGCCAACACGGTCCCGAAGGCGCCACTGCTTCGAACTCCGCCGACACTGTCACCAGCTGTTTGGTAGCGTAGATTTCTCAGTTCGCGATTGCTTCTGCGCAGAGCTGGTAGACTAGCGGACGAGACGATGGTGAGTTAAGGCAAGGTTTATGTACAGCATAGAAATAGAGGCGTTACAAATTCGGCACTGGGGCCTGACAGTTTAGGGACTCGAAGAGCCGATATGTCTTCTCACTGCACGCTGTTACGAGGCACACCGCAGACGAGGTTACGATTGGCGCCACGAAACTCATGGCTGCCAAGGACACCGGGCGTGCCAAATGCGAAGGGGCTCCGAACCGACGAGAGGCTTTTCTGACACTTAGGTCAAATGCGAAGGGGCTCGAACCGACGAGAGGCTTTTCTGACACTTAGGTCAGCTGCTGGCGACGCGTCGCAGGGCTTTTCTTTTTATAGGCACCAGTTGGATTGGAAGTTTCAGTTCTGGTTGAAAGTTTGTCCAACCAGAAGCGCCGCTGGCCGTGATGTCCGAATCCTTCAATGGGGCCCGCCGCTGCGCGTGGTTGCGCCAAGAACGAGGGATGTTGCCACGCATTGCATAAGACTCGCCAGACTGGAAGGCGCCGATTGCTTCAACTGGCTCGCAGGCTGAGGAAGCTTGCGGTGCGTTGCGTGACAGACCGGCGGCGCCGCTTGCTGACGCCGTTGAGCTGATCACGTCAGGCGGGCTCGATTGCCGGCCTTGACACAGATTGCCTTTTTCAGAGGCATTGGCGATTGATGTGGACTCGCAGGCATAACAGTCCTGCGCACACCTCGTAATCAGCTAAATGCATGATTAATTTCAATTATAATGCATCATTTTTGTCTTGTAATTAAGGTTGTATCCTCAAATAATTATTCTCAAGGACTGGAAGTGTGGTAACTGTGACAGGAAATAAAAATTTTCAGGCAGTCTTCAGGAAACACTTTATATATGCAGGGCACTATCTTGCCCAATTATCTCTGCACCAATTGTCTGCTATTAATATATCACTTCATGGAATTGATGAGAAAATTCCTTAATCTGTATGTGTGATTCATTTCTTTTTATTTATGTTGCAGTGAAGATTAACCTATTAGTAGAGCTGGGTGAATATGAACATTTTGGGTGCGAAGCAAATTCGAATTTGAAGTGAAAGTTCGAATCAGATAGAATATTTTTTATATTTCTCTAACATTTATAGACAATTTTTTATTACTTCTAAGCGAAATTGCCAAAAAAAAAGTGCGAGAGGATTCTTAAGCATGGCCTTACGAGATAGCAACATGAAAGTGTTCGGTTTTGTTAGACTGATGATGTGCAGGCGTGGTGGTGTTTCATAGTTGTCTTATCAAGAATGAGGCAATGCAGAAGCTGAATGATATTTATATACATGATTTGGTGGTCAAAAGTGTTGCCAGCAACACTATACATGTGAAAGACAAAGATACTATTGCCTCAGCCTCTTTTCCTTTCTCAACTTCTGTGGAAGCCCAACTGAGGGTGTGCACCCTTTTGAGTCCGAAGTTTCAAATCTGCCTCATAGAGACCAATCTATAAGAGCATCTGAAATTTTGGATGCTAAAAATTTTTAGACTTCCTGCCCAAACTTTAAGTCCAAAACAACAGTAATTGAGCCCCCACCTCTGCCATATCACTCATCTTCATGTTGGAGCCAGCATTTTCGCGAACCAATACATTTGCGATCGTAGAGTACCTTGAAAGGCAGCTTTGCGGCAATATGGGAGTATGCTGAGGTGAAGTATATTGAAAATTTGAAGGGGTCACTTTTAGTTAGACGTTCACTGTATATGTCTTTAGGAAATTCGAATAGTTCCAGTAGTAAAATTTTAGTGCGAATTGAAAATTTTTTGAAATTTTAAGTATTTGCACACCTTTAGTAATTAGTAGTTTAGTTTTCCAGATTTTTCGTTTTAAACAAGTAATGGGGCATGTTGTGTTAGTTATTTGAAAATGAAAATTAGTCTTCAAGCTGCATAAGAAGCTTCATGTCTGATTAATTGGACCATATCCAATGGTGTTGTCATATGTTCCCTCTGTTTTGAGTGTATTGTCACAGTGACTCAATAAGCAATGCATTTTTACTAATAATTAGAAAAAACTGCAGCAACAACTGTATTTTTAGGGGCAAAGCACCAAGCCATCAGTCTCATGGGATCAGCTGGAAAGCACGCAATGGCCTGATTATCTTCAGTGCAAGTACCATGATGTTTAGTAAGTATGTAATAATTAGCTGTTCAACTGTGCAATGACTGCTGTTGTGCTGGGTAGTAAGCACCCATATGCCTTAACCATTTCATTTTTTGCAAGATTTTCTCTCTTGAAAAGTTTATTTGTTTATTGATTATTTTTAAAATTTTGTTGTAGGATACTGTGCTTCTAAAAGCATGTTTTGATTGATGGAAAATAGTTTAAAGATATAACTCAAATTAGTATAACAAAATTTATTGTCTCATGGCCTATTAGGGACTCACAATTTGTGAAATAATGTCATCATTGAGATTCTGGCTAATACAACACATGAAATCGTCTAGTTAGAGTTTGCTATCTCAATAATTAGTGCTTAAAAAAATGTTAAGATTTAGTGTCGCTGTACCAGCAACATAGCCTTCCATGCGCAATTGTTAGAAACTGCTATAACTATAGTCAGCTGAAACTTTAGAAGTCTGCACCTTTTCCTTCCCAAAGGCGGATGCACGCAAACTGCACCAATGAGCGTTCATCCCAGACCACCCCAATCAGCTAGGCGGCCAGTGAACCCGCTTTCAAAGAACATTGCTGAGTGCATGAGCTGACTATCTCTTTAGCTGTGGAGGCAATCGACTGCCGTGCTTTAGTCCTCTGGGTGGGGCCTTTTAGGGTCTTCTTAATTTGTACCCGCCAATAGATACAACAAAGAATGCTGAGGAAGCAATGGAGCCGAAGAACTCTCAAGAAAAAATTCTACTTGCCCATTGTGGCAGTCACACACCCACAGATTGTTAATTTCAGGCAAACTGGCTTTGTTTTATTTTATGAACTTCAAATATGGCTCTTGAGTACTGCAGCATTCATAGACAATATGCCTGCTTTTTTGCATAATCTGTTTGCTTTCATGAAGCTAGAAAGATGATCTGGGGTGCTATTTTGCCTGATATTATTAATAACAGGGGTAGACTTGCTTTCAACCATTGACAAAATGTGATTAGTGTGAAAAAGTCTTCTTGCCTTTAAAAAGGCATCGCTACATAAAATAGCAGCCCTGGGGCAGGAGGAGCTTAAGCCCAACTAGGCATCAAAAGTGGTGGGTGTAGTAACCAGCTCCTCCTTTCTCCAACGTTCAGGTTCCATTCTCCTTGTGCAGAACAGGCAGGATATTTGTGCTAGCTGTGTCGTTGCTGCACAAAGGAATGTCATGGCTGTTGCCTGTTCTCTGTGAATGTGCACAAAGTCTAGTTTGTCTTTTGTGAACATACATCTATTCTGTGTGTTCATGTATTCTGATCATAGTAACTATCTGAGCCTTCTACTTGAAAAACTCCCAAAGTCTCCATGTAGTTGTGAAAAAACTCTACCTTGTGTCACTACATGTTAGCCACAAAAAGTTGTAGACAAGTATATTAGTAGCGCATGTAGTTGATGCAATAACAGTATTCATTTTATATCAGCATTAAAGTGTTCAGACAGACTACTGAATAGAAGCCTTTATTTTACTCATTTTCTCAAAAAATATTGAGGACCAAAATAGGTAACTCAGTGCCATTTCATTTTGGGGAGGTTGGTGATCAGTGGAACTGGTGGCTGCAAGATCCTTTTTGGGTGTTGTTTAAGGTATGCATAGTCACAGAGTTGCAGTGGAAGTTGCGGTATTCCCCAGAACACTGTTTTCGATCAATATCGGCATCTTCTTAACTTAAACAGTGCATGGAAAAATGCATCTCTGGCATGAAATATTCCCAAAAGAGCAATTCGCCTGATGTTATGTTGTCCTGCAGAGGGCATTTATTCCAACACCACTAGCTTTCATAGAAGGCATTTTCTATTTACATTTGTTTTGCATGACATGTAGAACACATCCATATAGTTTGAATATAATCACTTTATGTGTGTTTGGCCTAGTGTTGAGACACAAGCTTTGGGAGCATGTGGTTTTCCGGCTCCAAACCCTGCCAAGAAAACTGATTTTATTATTTCATTCGCAGCATGTTTTTTTCTAATGCATTAGTTTCTCCATACAGGGTGTAAGCGTTTCTGCTTTATTTCTTGCAATGGGATCTTCTGTGTCCGTCACTGTCGCAAACCTTACCATGGAGGCTGTTGAAAACCGGGCTCTCACTTCATTTGCTGCCCCGCCCAAGACTTTCCTTGGATATGTGGACGACTGTTTCTGTGTTTTGCAACAAGATGCCCTGCCAGTATTCTTGGAACAGCTAAATTCCGTGGAAGCCGCGATACAGTTTACCGTTGAAGAAGAATCAAATGGCTGCCTTCCATTTCTTGACATCCTCGTGAAAAGAGATGCTAGGCGCCTGACTTTCAGCGTGTACAGAAAAGAAACACACCGGTCGTTTTCTAAGCTTCAATTCTGTGCACCCATCCTGCTATAAACGTTCTGTTGTGTCTACACTCGTAAAGCGCGCTTGGAGGATTTGTTCTAAGGAAGAAGACGCAGTAGAAAATGTTAAGTCCGTTCGACGGGAGCTGGCTACTTGCGGATACCCGCTTTCCTTTATGAACTCGGTGCAGCGACAACTGCAGCATCCGGCTCAGTCACACACCATTGCTACAAGAAAACGCGCATCGGTGCCTTACGTCCCAGGCTTCAGCTAGACCCTCGCTCGGGTATTGCGCGGCTACGACGTCCAAGTGGCTCACGTTCCGACACGAAAGCTCCGAGGCCGTCTTACAAATGTCAAAGATAAGTTGGACAGACATGATTTTCCCGGCATGGCGCATAAAATTCCCTGCGAAGACTGTGAATACGGATACATTGGCGAAACGGGCAATTACAAAAGAAGGCTCCGGGAACATTTTAATGACGTCAAGAACAAGAAAGTAGCTTCTAATGCCCTCGCAGAACATGTTGCGTCTACTGGGCACGCTATCGACTGGGATAAAGCCTGCATCATTGCCACGAAAAGAAAGTTGTTACCACGATTGCACATGGAATTTCTGGCCATTCAAACTACTGCGCATACGTTAAACAGAAATATTGGGACACTCCCCCCTGTGTACGCGCGATGTCTGCAACACGTGATGAAACATGCATAAGAAGAGCGCACTACGCCATTTGCGGTCACTGTGAACAAGGCTCCCGTGTGGGGAGCCGAAACGTCTTTTTAAGTTTTGTGTATTTCACTTTGGTCGGCGTTTTTGTTTTTGTTATTTTGCACTATGTTTGTCCCCGACAAGACAGGATTCCGTCGGACTCTTGACTATAGTACTGACAAGTTCATCGTAGTTTGTAGGAAGAGCCTATACTATAGTTTAGGATGTAACAGCTCCTCTGTAAAACAGTGTTCTCGCTCAAGTTTCCTGACTTTTGACTTTCATCAGCAACAATTATCATTCCGACCAACTTTGTCTATTATGTATTGGTTCTGCATATTAGTAGTGGCACAGTCTTTCATATCAGTTTGAATCGGAAAGGTTAAAACAATAATTATGCTAAGAACCAGTATGTAATGTTCTACCTGATACAAATATTTAATCACAAATATCAGAACGAAGGAAAAAAGTTTATCAAGTTTTGCATTGTGAAGTGGATCCTGCAAGCCATTTCACCCATTGTTTTTATTTTGTACACTAAACTAGGCACTATATAATTTTATTAAAATGAAATGTAGTAGTTATTGTAATGTGACTGCAGCACAATTAAGCCTGCTTATAATGCTAAACATGATCGGTAAACCACATTCAGTGGTCTCGTGTGATAATTTTTTTCAGCGAGTTGTTCATTGTACAACTTCCGATTTCTCAATCCAGTTACAACACAGACCATGAAGTATTGGAGAACTCCTGCAGTGCAATGAAAGAGCAATACTTAGTTAATGAAACAGCTGCTACTTGCAGATCTAATCTGGAAAGTTCAGTGCATCTCCAATCCAAATCCAAGAAACCTTCAAGCACGGCTTGTGTTCTTGTGAACAAGGACCGCACCACGCTGCAAGGCCACCAACAGAAGCATTCTTTCTCATCAACACGGAAGGATCCTGTTGCATCAACATCTCTTCAGAGGAGCCCACAAAAGGAGAGCATGTCACAAAAAACAGTCCCTCTAACCTGGAATAGCCCACAAGCTGCTGCTTCTTCCTTTCTGCGAAAGAGCCCACGTAAAAATACCAAACAGCACGAATGTGTTGAACCAAGGTGTGCAGTTTTTTTTTTCTTACATAATTTCAAAAAATATGAGCACATGGTGTTGAATGAAAACAATGACAGAGCACCTTTATAACATCATGGTCCACGAAACTGCATGTTACATTTCTTTAAAAAAAAATTGTAGGAAAATCCTTGTTTTCAAACACATGCCTGCAGGATGTCGTATGCGTGGTTTCGTCTCCTTAAATTCTTGGTTTGCAGCTTATATTCACAGATAGACTACTTTGCAGCAAAATGCCATTAAGATTCAAGTCCATATACGGTGCCACTCTCGTTAACAGATAGGCCTGAGAGGAAGCAAGATGACTGTGCATTGAAAGGACTAGTGAAAAATGATAGGTGTAATGTCAAGAGACGGAAAGACAGCACTGTTCATCAGTAAACAGACATGGGTAGCCCATTCCACTCGACATGGAGCAGAATCAATGACTTCTGCAGTGAAGTTGCAGAATGGGTCAAGCTGGTGTATATTGCTGGCGTAAGCTGAAGATAATTAGATATTGATGAAGGATGCCTGTGGTGGACATAAGGTGGTGGTGACGGGGGTGATGATAAGGATGATAAGGTCTTAAGGTTAAGCCTCGAGGTTTAAGTGAAAAAAAAAAATATTTTCTTCAAATAAGTTATCAGAACTAGTTATTTCCTGACAGGTGGTGAGAAAAAAAAAGTACTGTTTGAATGCCCCCCCCCCCCCTTTATTTTTTTAATATTAGCTCAGTTGAGCAGACTGCTTTCTCTACAGCCTCTTTGGCATATGATCTCCCCTCTTCACATTTCCTTGTTCTCTGCAAGTGAATGTGCATGTCCAGGCAGAGTGGACGAAAATGGGCATGTGTTAGTGGATGAAGCTTGTGGCGATATGCCATATAAAGGATTCTATATTAAAGGGACCCTCAAATACTTTTTTGCGTAACCGTGGAATTAATTCAATGGGAAAGCGTATTGACTCACAAATTCAATGCCGCAAAAATTTTAAGAATCCGTCCAGTACAAGCCGAGTTACAAAGATTTGTCACACGCTGCAATCGCATTATCTTCTCTCGTCCCAACGAAAGCGCTGGAAGCTAAGCAGAGAGGAATGGGAGGGGCAAACAAAAAACGTCACACCCGCCTAGTGACCTTGAACACTTTTTTTTCTTTGAATACCCGGCTTTTTCAGTGCGATCGCACGCGCACGTGTGAACAAGTGATGGCCTCTCGCGGCCATCTCTGTAACAACTGAGCACACCATGTCCAAATCAGCCAATGGCTGATAAGATGGGTAATCTATGTGTGATTTTTGAGCGCTTTTCGTCATTTGTCGAGGGAAGAGAAAGAAATTTTTAGCTGACTTTCATAATTTATTGTAAATTCCAGGCCGCGTGCTATGCTATAACCTTTGGCTCGCGTGTTCTCGAGAGCCTCTACTACTGATCGGCAGCGTTTTCTGACCATGCTCAAAAAGTGTTGCAGGGCCCATTTAAGGAAAATGACACCCTTCCTTGTAAGTGGCAATTTTTGCATCTGCTACTTTCATCGTAAGTGTACAATGCGAAGGGTAAATACAGGTGTAAGCAAGGTGGTTTCAACGACAGTTCAATTGAGGCTGCACTAGCGTGATGGTTAAGTATCCACATTTGAAAGGGCCCTGCAACACTTTTCCAGGTAACCATCCAGTGGCTTCACTAGAGAAGTTTATTGCCTCACGAATTTACTGCTGGAAAAATGTCAAGAATCCGTCAACTATGAATGGAGTTGCAGAGATCTAGCTTTCTCTCTTTTCTCATCCCGATAAAAGTGCTGGAAGCTAAGCAAGGAAGGATGGCTCTTCTTCATGCTTGCGTCATGACCTTGAACACCTTATTTTTCTTCTCTCTTTAATTGGTTTGATTTCAGTGCGAGCGCACGTGCAGGCACATGGCGGCCTTCTGCGGTGGGTGAAGTAACTGTGCACCCCATGGTGCTCAAATCAGCCAATTGTCGTGAATTCGGGTATATGGCGTGGTCATTTGAGTATATCCCATATTTAGAAAGAAGGGGGATAGATTTTTAGCTTTGAGAATTAATGGTCAATTCAAGGCCACGGGCTGTGCTATAATGTTTGGCTCGAGAGCCTCGACTACCAGTGTTGTCTGACCATGCTCAAACAGTGTTAGAGGGCTGCTTTAACCTTCATGCTGTTAGTTACAATGTACCAACTTGCTCGATCAGCTTCCTTGCTACTGTTGGTCTATAATCAGTACCACTAGATAATCCCTGAGGCAGATTAGTGCTCTTCTTCATCTCTATGCTGTCACTATTTGGCTTGTGTGGCTCAAGTGGCTGGAGTTTCTATAGTGTTTGCATGCAATGAGGAAGTCCTCTTGCATTCATAAAATGCAAGAGTGAAGTGATTATATGCATTCTCATCACAGGAAAGAGAGAGTTGATGCAAATCGTGCAGCATCTTAGAAACTCCGGATGGTGAGTTATTGTGCTGTTTGTAAAGATCGCTACAAACATACAAGGAATTTATATGGACTTCTTTACTTTTTATTTCTCAGAAACTGCGTGTCGCTGTGGCGAATCCTCTGGAAAAGAATGGTGTGTCTCAAAGCAGCCCCCTTTACAAGGCTTGCGGCAAGAAGCTTTTTGCTATTTGTAGTACCTTTGCTAAGGTGAGTGTATTTGATGATTCTACAGTACGTTTGGCATTCTGAACTGGTATTCACGCATTACGTGCTACAAAATGATCCTGTTGCAGTGGCTGGGCAATGGAATAAGATGGACTCTATTCGCTGTGGTCTGTGGGGTTAGACACAACTGTTAACCTTCATTTTATCGGGGGTCTCAAACTCGCCTCATTCAGTGGGCCGTAGTCACGGAAATTAATCTCTCAAGAAGGGCCACGACAGCAAAGAAGGTTAGAGCAGCAGGGGAAGGGAGGTTATGGAACAGATAATCAGCTACTCATATATTGGTAATTTCTAGGCTTGTGCGAGTAGTGAATTTCAGGTTGAAAGCGAAATTGAAACGAATAGGGATTTGGTTAAAATAATTTCTAATCGAATTCGAATAGTATGTATCATATGTTATAAAAAAAACGGGCATATTTGTTCATGACCTAACTACCTGCACAGTATTTTTTTTTTTACTTGAAAAAAGGCCTTTGAATTGTAGCAAGATTTGCCTTCTCTGGTAGATATTAAGCGATAACTTGTAATACATATTAAAGCCAGCATAACACCGGTTTATGATATAAGCCAGCATAGCAAGCTTTTAAGCTTTAAAAGTTATGAATCAATGTGAGGGTATGGTGTTGATTTAACAACATGGTTGATTGTGCGCACTACTTAAATGCGGATTTAACCTTCTAGTGGGGCTTCGCGGCAGTGCGGATTTCTTTTGGATCGGTGTTTTCACGTCTTAGCACTCCTTTGCTGCAGTGAAACAACCATAACAAGGGTTACCTGCAAAGTAATATAAATTTTAAAAAGTTTGCTTGGCTTAGCATCTCTTTACGGTACTGTCACCACCTTTACAGGGGATTACATGCTGATTGATATACTCATTTGTTTATCTAGAATACTTCGAAATTTTCAATAATTTAATTTGCAAAGCAAGTTTAAATGCTTCGTATTCATTCAAATATTCAAAGAATTCAAATATTTGCACAAGCCTAGTTATTTCTCAAGAGGAATTTGCATCAGATGACTTGAACAACAAGTTATCGATAATGATTTGCAGAATGGCTAAAATCTTGATGCGAATTCTTTAATATAGAGTTTTTGTTCGACCGCGTGAGGTGCCTCGTGAGGGAAAAAAACGGTTGAGATCAGTCGCGTCAGATTGGCATACTCAATAAAGTGTTCTTTCTCTCAGTAGGCGAGCAAATGATGCGAGTGCCATTTCACAATGCCAGAAAAATTGTCTCAAAATTGTAAAAAATTATGGGACGAAGAAGGTCATGTGCGGCATGGGCCGCTGCAAAAACATCTGTGGTCTGAATGTTTGTGACGTGTGATTTGCACATCCTTTAAGTAGATGCGCTTTTTATGTAACATGTTTTTTAACTAAAGTAAATTTGTATGTTCTGACTACATTATCTTGTACTTTTTAATGCATACAGTTTATTTGGATCTATTTTTTGTGCTGTGCATACCACTTGGCAAGTGTGCCTTATCATCCTTCTCCACCTCCTGCATCTCTTCGATCAAAATTTTCACTCAAGGGCAGCATGTTGAGTTGTCAGTGAGACGTAAGACTATCATTCACACTTTCGATGCTTTCAACATTTGTGAATGTCAAACCGTCAATAGTAATAAAAGTCGTTTTATTGATATTAGCATGCTATAAGATGGCCCAGTGTGCTCCACATTTTCACAGCAACTTAAGCTTGGCAACCTTCTCATGAAATGTCCTGACGAGTGCATGCTATGCATACAATAGTGACAGTCATAGCTAATCATGGCAGTGGAGTTTACATGGTGTTGCTGTGCATGCCAATAATGTGAGGTGCTGAGCATTCAAGCGTCACTCTATGTGAGGTATCTTGGCCACAGAGCAAAGATTATTTAAGAGTTGAAACTATACTATCTACAGCAATCAATTAATGTCACGCTCCCACAGTGCGGCTTAAGTACCTTGGTGTAGGAAAGCAGTGAAATGCTTTGATCTGTGTCGTGATATCCTCACTCTTGCTTGCCATCGACCTCCTCTCTTTTTCTGCACCCCTGCCTGCACGACGTTGATTGGCCGTGGCATGCGAAAGCACCCTACCAGGTGACCCCGATGTCGAGAAAATGTCGTGAAACTTCTTTCATGATGCTTTTTTTTTTCGGTTTCTGTGAATGCCTCAGCTGTTAGTCTTGCTGCCACTACTACGGCCAAACTAGAAGGGAGACATGCTGCATGCTCAAATAGGAGCACACACATCGTCCCTTCAGCCCAGCTGTGTGCAGCCCAATCTGAGGAGAATTGAGAGGAATGTGTGCAAGGAAGAGATTGTCGCTGCTATCTTAGATCAAAGGGCATTAGGTGCTATGTCATGCTAGCGGCAACTGGCAACTGTCAAGTAAATCGTTATCATTTCAGTTGTCAAAAGAACCGTATGTGTGTTGCTCCCTTCAGCTGAAGACCCTTAGTGTGAACACAAGTCGCATTTGGCCGCATGTATTTTTTGGTCTGATGCCCATACTTATCTTAGTGCACAGAAAATAAATTTTAACATTGCCACTGAAACGAATGCCCTTGTCGTCTTATCAAAAATGCTGTCAAAGAGAATGTGTGGACATGCTTTGCTGGCCATTCTCGTGGTTGGTTTATGTTTTGCCATTCTGTGGCTGTCGCTCCACGTCGCCAGTTGACGCACCTTCTTCAGCGCATGCTATTTTTGTGACATTACCTTTTCACTCATGTGCACCGTACTAACATGAGTTCCGCCTCCTAAATGTTTTTTGCTCTTTGATGTAGATGCATGGAAGTGATTAGCACAGTGCATGCACTGTATCTGGGTTGTTATTTTTTTTTTGTTGTTGGTCGGTTACTGCTGTTTATTTGCATGAGCTTGTACTACTTGTACCAAAGTCCTGCAACACATTTACTGGTCGTGAAGCTTCACTGTAACTCTATGGGAGAGCTTTGTGTGCTGCGAGCAGAGGTCGCGGGGTGGCGTTGCATCACCGCGGGGGCATTGGGAAGACCAGAGGGAAGCTGGCTGCTGATGCCGCTATGGGGTCAATGCATAATATTTTGGCGTGCCATCGCGTAGTTTTTCACCGTATGATTACTATTGAGCCTAGTGTGCTGTGCCTGAAGATCGGGAAGGAAACCGTATACTTGCTGGGCACCTGGTTGTTGACCCGGTTACAAAAAAAAATGAAGAAAAAGTCTCCGAGTTCTCACTGCCTACAGTGATCAGCGAGAAAAGTGTAAGAGCGCAACACTGTGACAAGAAACTGGTGGTTTCACATTTGTTTCCCCAAATGTGCACGTGTGTGAAAAGCACTTTGATGAGAGTGACATCGTTCACGTAGACAAGTGGCTAATCAGAGGTGTTGCGAAGTTACCATGCAACATTCCGAAACTTTTGCCGGCGCTGTGCTGAGGATTTTTCACAGCCTCATGGTGTATTTGTATAGTGCAAAAAGATGCAGAGCTTGCCCGCCTGCAAGTGTCGATGAGAACTGTCAGCGAGCTGGGTACTGTTGAGGCTGCATTTGATTGTGCATGAGCCCTCTTGACATAGCTGCAATGGATAATGACGCATGTAATGAAGGTGAGCATACCGGCCACCTCTTCCTTCTTTCATGCCAGTTGGTAATACGGGAGCCCGATGGGTGAAATGCTCTCAGTTTTCATTTATACAGGCGCTGAGGTGACCAAAAGTGTTGAGGTGATATCCTACACAGCTTGAAAAAATCGAAGCACACATCTCTTGCATGCAACAGTGACTTCATCGCTACCAATTGAAGTTTGCTCGAGTGACGGGGCAAGAGAAGTTGCACCAAAATACTGTACAAAACTTGCGCAAGCGGTAAAAGCGTGAAAAGTTAATTTTCGATATCAATGCATCATGACCACGAGAAGATAACTTTTTTGTGTCACATGTTGACGCCTCCGGTGCGGGACGCAGTCAGTCAATTTTCACGTTTCAGGAGGCATGTTAGGCGTTCGCCTTTACTGTACAAACAATAAAAAAGGACAGAGAAAACACAGCATGAGTAAGCTACACAGCAAAGCAAAGGACCGAGAAACTACATTGCATGGCCAACCGAACTTAGAACGTGCTACAGCACCATGGTGATAAATTAACACAAAACAGAACACGAAAACGAGGCAAACGTCATATGAAGTATTGCCTGATCCTCATCTCTTGCTAAATTAAAAGCACTGATTTATTCAAAGTGGCCATAGGTTTAATAAGTGCGAGGCAATTTTAAGAGAACAAGAAGATAATATATCTTCGTATATTGAAACACCAAATGTATATATAGCCTGGAAAGTTGGATATGCGGTCAAAAGTTGCAGCCACTGCACTTCTGCGACGCGTTAACCACCAGAATCGTGGAAGAACTCTGGATTATGCACAAATGTTCACTAGATGCTTAAGGAAAGAAAAAAAATAAGCATGCATTTATAGCGGTAGCATATCTTACAGTGGAATTGGCATGCTGTCGAATTTCTAGCTTCAAGGCTTCATTCGACGCTAAATTTTACTGTATTAGAGCTTTCCCAAATTTTCTTGAAGGTAACATCACTCTGAAGACTTATACAATCTTTACGGCTACATTTAATAAACGTTTCAGAGCTCCGGTGCGTCCTGTACAATTGCAGCGCCATGGCCGCTCCGATGCCGCGCCGTGGACGCCCCTAGCGGTTGCTCCTGTTTCTATATCAAACTTTCGCCGAAGCTTCATGACCATTAAAATTATTGAATGACTCTGCTTGTACTAACATGTGTGTGAGCATTCGTTATAATTCTTTGTTTTTTTAATTACTTGCTCATTAAATCTCTGCACTCTTACAGGACCTTATCGGCTGTGGTCGTACAAGTGAGCTGCTACAAAACGTTGCAGATTCCCATGCAAAGCAGGTGTGTGTATGCCTAATTTAGTATTCAATGTCACTTTTTATGAAGTATATAATATTTGCGAATCCTGGGAACTCCATTTAGGCTAAGAAACACATGTGGATCTAGCTCATTGGGGGCAGTTTAGTGTGAGACCAGCAGATGGGGATCTTCAATTCGTGCACTTGCGAACGAATTCGCCACAATCTAACCTGAACATATAACTCTCTAATATAAACATGCCAGTTTTTTTTTTTCTTTTAGATAAAAATGCATTTATTCATTCATATATGCTTGGGCACCTGTCACAGTGTTTGACAGTTTTGGTAACCATTCGTCCAAAGGTGAGAGCTGAAGAGTTAGTGTGGACAGTAATATTGAATGGCACAAAAAGAGATAAGAAAATTGTTATGAAAACGTGGACAAACATTGGAAGACACTTAAGCTTCACCTTCGAGTTTAACGCGATAGGGATATCCTGTTCCTAGTGCATACTTCAACCACTGAATGCATACTTTTTATTGTATGATGTTTCTCCTGATGATTAAATTGTGTATTGCTACAATGTAATCAATTAAGTTAAAAGTGGCTTTTTTTGCAAATGGCTACATTTTGTGTAATGAGTAGCATACTTTAAACCACGAGTGATTATTCGTGTATAACTTTCTAGAACTTGCTGTGCCCCCAGCACAACTTGGCCTTAAGGGAATAGGCACAGTAACCTGTGTGCCTCTTGTAGTAGATGGCCGGCTTTATACAAAGAAGTCATTATGATAATCACATGTTCTCACGCCGGATGGCAATGTACACTTGTACCATGCATTATTACTGTGATAATATATGTTGTATTGTGAACCATGCGTATAGGACTTGAGTCTTGTAAAGCATCAAAGTTACTTTCAGTTACTTTTAGGAAGTTCTTTTCTCTGCATTTCCTTGCAAACATCTTCTGCATTTTCTTGCATTTCCTTGCTCAATCCTCATTTGGAACCAAAATTTTAGTATTTGTTTTTTCTTATTTTTTAGTCATGCACGAGATGATTTTTCGCTCACAAGCAATGACGCCAGCACCGGAATTCCTGCAAAACAAACTTTTTTACGTTCTTGCGTTAAAATGTTTTAAACGGCCTGACAACCAATTTTTCTGAACCCAGTTTTTTTTACAGCACAAAAGTCGACATTGATTGTAGAAATAGCGGTCCAGAAACCTCGTAGTGTTACTTTTGTGCTGAGGAAAGGTCTATATTGAAATAAAATCACGTTTTAATGGTCCGATTTGGGTTAGCGCACTTCAAATTACCCGCCTCAAGAAGCAGACCGACCGGACTGACTGACTGCTATCTATATTTGCATGCGTCGAATTTCCTTCTGAAATCCAATGCAACAATAGTGTCTTCACCAGCTGCCTTACCTCTACCTTTATGGATAAATGTGGAATAAAAGTGGTGCACAGCTCGATCCATCACCCGCGATCTAATCCGGTAGAGCGTATGCATTCCGTTCTAAAACGGATACTGAGAGCTCTTTGCTACGTGCACAAATGCGACTGGGAAGCGTATATTTCTCCCACTATATGTTCGCTTTGAGATCAGCTCCTCATGAGAGCACTGGTTTTAGCCCTGCAGAGCTTGTGTATGGCAGGAGTTTGAGAACACCATTGCGAATGCTACGCGAGTCCTGGGAGGCCGGGCTTTACTGAGCTAGTAGCAGCACACCGAAAGAAGCGAGAACCACAGTGGCAATGACGGCCATTGATCAATTTCTCACCATTGGCTTCGAGATTGCAGACATTTTTTATTCAACTGCACCCCTCTAGATGGCACTATCTGTCCAGTGTAACTATGCGAAAATTGAATTTTTTAATCACTAGTGCCATTCCCCATAGTAATGTCTGGCGGTTCTTTTATCCATGAATCAAACAGAAATGAACAGGCAGCATTTTCTTGAGTCTCTTGATGATTGGAAGATTCTTTATTTAGTGCAACTAGATTCATTACTAGTGATTAACTGTAGGCCGTCTGTCTCATGTCATCGCGATAATTTTGAGAATATCCTACTATGGTGCATGTGTTCTTGAGCATTTACCTTAATTTTTCGGTAAGTAGGGCACTGATGTTGATAATATTGTCGTTTAAGATGTTGTCATACATTGAGCTTTCACTCCTACATAAATTATTATTTGACTTTACTGGTCCTTTTAAGTGCAAGAATTTAAATAAGATGATATTTGGATAAAAATTACTAAAGATTTCCTTTTTCTCTAAACAAAGCAAAGATGATCATTCAAAATCTGTTTGGTAAAAGAAAAGCTTTTTATTATACGATATACAGAAGCATGTAATGCGAAATGCCCGTGAATGCGCAGTAAACCTATGAGCTAGTAAATAAAAAACATCCGATTTGTTATAGTATCGTAGATCATGACAGTGACTGTAATAAGACAAGGCAACAGCATGTCGCCATAATACTCATGGTGTGGTGTTGTTTACTTAGGTTTCAAATGCTTTCCATTACCAGAAAAGGAGGCGATTATGTCTTAAAAGGTTAATATCGATCTTGAGATGTTCATCCACAGAACATGACCTACATAGACTGGTGGTGTTCTCCTCTTTGTCCTATGACGCAGATGAATGTCTGGAGTCAAACAGGAATCTGCAGATATCTCAGAAATGGTACTAGCCTAGAGGCCCTTCCTAAGGTTGCTTGAGCATTGGCCAGTTCCGATTCTGCAACCTAATTCCTAGATTAAACAAGAAGTTTTTCAGCTGTTTCTGGTGTTCGCAAATCCTGATAATGTGTAACTTGCAAAATGGCTTGTCACATGGGGTAACACAAGGAGCACACAGTAACGTGGTCATCGGCAAGATTTTTCCCCAGGGGGGAGGGGGGTGCAAACCAGTGTTGCGATGCGACTGCTAGAGGGGCACCGCTGTAGCTTGGGTTAGGGCAAGTGCTGGCGAGGCTTGAAGGGGGCTTGTGCCCCTTTTGCACCCCTGCCAACCCCTGCCAACACCTATGGAATGTAATTATGAAATGGTGTGAGACGTGGCAAATGGTTCTAAACGCATCAAAATGCAAAACGATCTCATTTAGCCGTAAGCCTGACCCCTCCATTTTTTCATACCGTATAAATAATGACCCGCTCTCGCATGTTTCCACATACAAATATTTGGGCCTGCACTTCACACAAAATCTTTCGTGGTCCTCTCACATCAGTAACATCTGCGCAAATGCCTCGAGATCACTGGGATACCTACGCCGTAACTTACATTCCTCCCCCGCTAACGTCCGAAAACTAGCTTACGAAACTTTTGTTCGACCTCAACTTGAATTTGCCTCACCAATCTGGTCCCCCCCCCAAAATTACTTAACCAACATGATCGAGGCAGTTCAAAATAGGGCAGTCCGATTCATTTCTCGTAATTATAATTTCTGCTGCAGCGTAACACAACTTAAAATGGATTATTCACTTCAATTATTATCCACTCGCCGCAACATTTCTCTTTTATGCCTCTTTCATAAATACGTCAATAGCACTAAAATGACCAGACTTCCAATTGAACGACCTTCCTATTTATCAACTAGACTACACAACCGGCTTAGTTTCTCGCGCATGTACGGCAAAACGAACTCTTTTAACGCATCCGCTTTGCCTCGTGCCATCACGTTGTGGAATGATCTTCCCGATAACTTGGTATCTGACACTAACCCCGTTTCCTTCCGCAACAATTTGGTCTTGCATTTTGGTTGATAATTTCATGTTCACAGTTTCGTTCTTGTATGTATATGACATTCATAATGCTGTGCAAAAAGTTTTTTTCTAATGCGCTTATTGCCCCCTTATTTTTTGTGCTTTATTTTTGTTTGCTTAGGACGAACTGTTCACACTTCCTGTAAGCGCTTTCATGATTTTCCCAGTGTATTATACCACAATCTGTGCCATTTTACTTACACTATTGTACACTTCCTAACTGCTGTGTGCCATGAACTGCATCTTTCTAGTTTTTTGATAACGATGTATGATGTCAATTTATACTTACTTATTTCTTGTTTATTTGTTACTCATGTCTTGAGCTTACGTTTTGGCACCTTTCGCCCTTTTACTTGTTGTACATGTCTTTGTTAGCCCCCCTTACTCAATGCCCTAACCAAGGGCCTGTAAGGTACCTGTAAATAAATAAATAATGCCCCACTGTTTAATTAAAACATTGTTTGTATGAATAACTCAAATTATTATTTTTGTGGGCACCATAGCTTTGCGATACTTCCCGACTAAAGAGTAGAGAGGCCCTGTCAATAGTCTAGAAAGCATGCACGTTGACTGTTAGTCTACTACTGCAATGACTACAAAAAGGCTTTTATGCTCATGGGCTCTGTGGAGAGCAAAGATGATTTCTAGGACAAACACTGGGCTTTCCACTTTTTTTCAGCTGTTTTATTACATCTTGTGCATAGAAGTCGATGGTTTAAGAACAGCTCCTTCTCCTGCTTACTAGCTTCATCAGCAAGCAGTGGCCATCCCTACAAAAGTTATCTTCTCTTTTTTTTTTTTTAACTTTATTTGAGTGAAAGTCTTTTCAGTGGCAATTCTGTTAGCGCGAAACACATTGAAATTATCTCTTATGGTACACTGAACACTTGCAATGTGATTTTTTAGAGATAGCAGCAACCAAGCTAATTCACTGGAGTCGTTCACATTTTATTTGCTCCCTTTTAATCAAATCTCAATTTCAATCTGCAGTGTGATGCACAGTACAAAATTTAATTATGGAGCTTTGTATCAGTAAATCTCTAAACTATTTTCTGAAAAGATTTGTTATTATTGACTAATCAGTTTATGGGTGGCATGGATTGGCAATCAAAGCTCCCAGCAAGACAAGTGCTTCTATGCTTAGAAAAATGAAAATATTGAATGGAGCAGTTTTATACAGGAAGGTTGTGAAACCTAATGTGTTTCAAGAGTTCATAAACCAAACTTTGTGTGCAGGTTTCCAGTTCGTGCGTGCTGAAGGCTTCGTGGTTGGGCACGTGGCAGATGAAGGTATTATGGAATGCTGTGCCAGCGAGCTATTGCGCTACAGACGCATTATTGATGCTGAGGACATTCTTGTGTTTGCAGACAAAGAAAAACACTGGTCAGCATCAGGGAGTTCTTTAAACATTATATTGTTGTTCCAGTCATGCCAATTGTGTTTCATTAATGTCTACATGTAATTTCATTGGCTGCTTTCATTGTTTCCAGGATGCTGACGTCACTTGTGATTGCATGTGAACTGCAATCACAAGTGACGTCAGCATCCTGGAAACAATGAAAGCAGCCGAATTCTTTCAGTGTGATGGCATCATCCTGACTGGAGGTGCAACAGGCCTGCCACCCAGTACCACTGAACTGCAAGGTGTGCACTTGTGAAATGTTGCTTCTGTTAAAAATGTCATGAGCCAGCATAGTTTTGTTTTTTGATTTTGTGCAAGCACACATGGCTGCCAGTAATCATTTACAGGCAGAAGCCCTGTAATGTTGCAATACTTGGATTACAGCCCTCATCATATCAAGCATTACATGTGACCAAGGTGTATTACTGCTTTTTAGAGGTGAAAGCAGACATCAAACAGTGCCCGTGCTAACTTTGGATCAGAGATCACAGAAACACGTTCAAGATTTTTTTACAGCAGATGCAGTGATTGTGGGATCATCATTTAAACATGAAATATCTGGAGCGGTGCACTGAATGCTCTGCAGGTGGAGTGCATTCATGGAAAATGTGCACACTACGGTCAAACTTATCATATTCATCTTGACTCTGTAATACAAAAGAAATAATGACACACTGAACTGGAATGTGCATAAATAAAAGTTTTAATTTTTTTCTTCCCATCTTTTCAGGATGCATCTAAACATAGTAATAGCCTATTGTAATATTGGCCATCATTCCTATAAATAACAGTTATACAGTTTTCATGGTTAACATTTGTTTTCGTCATACAATATTTTTATCTCTGGTATTTTCATATGAGTGCAGAAACTATAAAACATTTTAGTTGGATATATTCCGGTGACACAGTACCACACAACATATGCATAGTGAGTACACTTTCCAAGTGCATCAGTAGTGAAAGCATGATCAATCTGTACAGTATGTTTTCTTGTTGTACATCTGCTGCACCTATGTGCACAAGAAATAGTGGATAGCACGATACATGAATTCATAAAAGAGCTTTCAATAATATGCATCCATTGAAAACTCGACAGAAAGGCTTAGCCAAGTACTGTCAAAGACCGTAAACTGCAGGGGTAAAAAAATGCCATAGAAGTAACTACGAAGTGCACAAATCAAAGTTAGTGCCGTTTGTAAGCTTTACGCTTTTGTAGGACACTGTCACGTACTACATACTGTCATTCACAAAGCACAAATCTAAGGTGCTGGAAAACCGACATATTAACAGTTGAGCCTTCCATCGCAGCAGTTTTGTAAATATATTTTTCTTTAGATCTGCATAGGTGAAGTTCAGCTCAGAAAGAAAATTACTTCTGGCATTCTATAATTAATTACACAGAAAAGTATAGAATTTACTATGAGTTTGAGGCCATTTTTTTTAGATTTTTAAAAGCTTATGATAGTGCTCGGAATTAAGAAGTACTGCTGTAAAGCGGATGCAATAACATGTCACAAAAAAACACATTCAATATACATATAGCATTTGGATCACCACCAATAAAATAAGTGGGAGTAAAACGACATTGCGCTTTGCCCAGTGTACCAGAAGGCAACAGAAAAAAAAGAAGAGTGCCTAAAAAGTATGGCTAATTCAGTATATGCCCGCTACTCATTTTACCTTTGCAGTATCCATCAGGTAAAAAAAAGTATTGAAAGCTTTACAGACATGCAAGCCAGGGATGAATTTCTTTCAAGGTGCTTGAGTCATCGGTATTGATGAAAACCAGCAAGGCATACATTGCATAAAACTTGATTTACACTCAGATTTTGCTGCAAGCATTTTCTAGCAGTTTTTACTTGTATTTTGAAACAGTTCAATGAGTTGCTATTGCTTGAATTAAAGCAATATTGTTTTAAGACATGCACACATTTTACATGCACCCCCTCTCCCTGGACAGCTCCTCCCCTTAAATTCTTTTTTTTAACATTTACATTTTCCTTGATGGCTTGCTTTTACACACTGTAGGGCCATGGACTAGACTTTTGGTTTCATCTTGCTGTATTCTTTGGTACATATATACAACTAAGGATTGCTGAGCTCACACATGCAGTCACAAGTCGCACATCTCACAGCAGGAAGGTGTCAGTATAGTATGCTATATCATTCATAATATTTAGGAAATGTGGTTGGACTGAGTTAGGGGTTGAAAACCCAGCTTTTCACCTGTGGATATGCAGCCTAGGTTGCTGATATTGCTAGGCTTTGTCTGGCAAGCCCAATCCCACGTATGCAAATACAACAATTCTAACAACTTTCTACCACAGGTACTGCTACAATTATTAGGTGCTTAAAAGGAGGCAGCATTTGCCACAGCTGTAGATTTTTTCCTCATGACTCAGCTTCGAATGCATGTAGAGGGATCACAAATACTCATACAGTGTTAGCAATAAAGTGTTATGAAATTAGCATTTTAATGCAGCATATTGTATTAATAGAAGCACCATGTGTGGATAACTCTTTAGGCTAAGCCATTGGCTCTTCCACATTTGGACAGGGATGGTATCTTGTGGCGAATGTATTTTGATACCACATTTGCGACCACGACCCTTCAGTCTCACCAAGGCTAAATTGAGAAGCATAGCGATTATAAACAGAAGGTGCAGAATTTTCAGGGACAGAACCAGACATTCATTAGCACTTCTCACTGGATGGTCAAATTTTAAGCCTCCAAATATTTCTGCCAGCATTCCACAGCTACTTACTGCCTGTGCATGATGAATTGTGTTTGTGGGATACCAACACAACATGTCTTGTAGAGAGAGGGGGTGCAGGCCCCATACAAGGGTGTGAATGTGAACCAGCAGTCTAGCTGAGTAACACGTATTTTGTGCTCCAGCTGGCAGTTGTTAATGACTTTTTTTTTGGCAGTTTGAATGCATATTTATAAGTACATTGAATATTCTTCTTCCATAAATCAGAAGTCAGCACCTGTACATTTTTCTTTCACAGAGGTGGCTCCTTCACAAAGAAGCATGAAACAATATTGCTTGCAACATGGGTGCCGCATTGGCCATTTCACCTTTGTGCAAGGCACGGGCTTTGTCGCTATTGCAACAGAAAGGGTGTGGTGCTGAAAAGTTGACTTAGGTTAAGTTATTGAAAAGGAAGAGGTGCATAACCGTTCCTATCTTGTGTGCAGTGAGTAGAAGACAGACGAAAAAACAAGTGGTATAGTAAACCAACCTTAATTTAATTTCAGAACACATTAGCTGTGCAGTTTCAACATACTTCTACATACTAATACTATTGATGCATTTGGGCAATAAATGTATTGGGCTTTCAGTATTAGTTGAGTGTCAGAAGAACCAATATATATATATATATATATATATATATATATATATAAAATATAAAGAGGTTTATTACTTGTTAAAGACAGCGGCGAGACAGCGTGAAAAACTGTCACGAGACCGGCACAGTAGCGAACCAAAGCTCGAGACGAGAGAGCTGGACATTGGCGATGCTGCTCGCTGCAGGCACTGTTTTTCCTCAATCGCCCCCGCTGAAAAGGAGCCATCCTGGTGGCCTAAGAAGTTTCAGGCAGAGGTTCATGGTACGATTTCAGGCGGGAAACATGAACGATGTCACGTGCACGGCGGCGCATGTTGTCCGATCGAGACAACTGGCTCAATTAGAAAATTAACAGGAGAGATTTTCTCCAAAACGGTGTAATGCCCCTGGTAGGGGGACAAGTTTCGAGGAGAGTCCCGGAGTTTAGTATGGGACGGCGAGCCACACAAGCGACCTGGGCATAGCTGGATCTGGAAGGGCGGTGCTACGGTTTTCTTTCTGGTATTGCTGCTCATCTGAGGTGAACGTACGGGTGAGCTGGTGGCATTCTTCGTCTTGTCCAGCTGCATCGGAGATAGGTAGACACTCTGAAGCATTAGAACGGTAGGGAAGTGGGGTAGCAATTGTATGGGAAGGCTTGCGTCCGTAAAGAAGAAAAAAAGGTGAAAATCCCGTGGTTGTTGGTTGTTGGTTATAGCGAATGTGACGTATGATAGAACACTGTCCCAGTTGCTATAATCAGATCTCACGTACATTGAGAGCACATCACCCAGCATGCGGTTAAACCGTTCCGTTAGTCCGCTAGCGTGCGGGTGGTATGCTGTCGTTTTTTGATGAGCGACGTGGCATTCCGAAAGCAGAGTTTCGACAACCTCGGAGAGGAAAGCACGGCCTCTGTCAGAAAAGAGCTCTCGAGGTGCGCCATGTCGAAGGATAAAGCGACGTAAAATGAAAGATGCGACATCCTGGCGGTAGCGCTCGGCAAAGCGGCTGCTTCAATGTATTTCAATGTAGCGTGTCAGGTGGTCGACCGCCACTATAATCCATCGTTTGCCATCTGGTGTCAATGGAAGGGGACCGTAGAAGTCAACGCCGACGCAATCAAATGGCTTGGCAGGGAGTGGAAGTGGCTGCAATGCACCAGTCGCACGTAGTGGTGTTGATTTGCGTCGCTGGCAGTCAGGACAGCACTGCACGAATTTGCATACAAAATTGTGCATGCCGCGCCAGTAATAGCGATGGCGAAGGTGTTCATATGCTTTGAACACCTCGACATGGCCACATTGCAGATCGTCGTGAAGAGAAATGCATAATTGCGATCGTGAAGTGCATGGAATAACCAGTAGCCACCGGCGGCCATCGAGAACGTAGTTGCGTCTTTAAAGAAGTTGATCACGGATGGAGAAATGGAAAACTTGACGTCAGAGGGATCGCGATACCGAAAGGTTGGCGTGTCGGATTGATATTCGAGAAGAGATGCGGTCCACGGGTCACGATGTTATTCAGTGGCAATCAAATCGAGATTTACGATGACAAGGTCTGGAGGCAAGTGTTTCCACACATCGCCGCAAGGGGAACAGCTTGGGCAACCTCTTACAAAATAGCAGTGCTAAGCGGGGCAGGTAGACGGGTGGTGGTCTCGTGAGTAAAGGGCACTAGAGAAAGTCGGGGGCGACTTCCTCACGGACGAAGGCTCAGACTTGCTGAAGCAACGATGAATTGTCAAGCACGGTGTCGAAACTGAACAGCGACTCACCAGCATGCTGAGGCTCTGCCGAGTCAGAGTGCATTGCTTCTTCAACTTGTCGTAGCTCTGACACAAGCTGACGACTTCAGAAACTGTGCTCGGATTCCTAGCCAAAAGCATTGAAATGCGCCATCGTCGATGCCCTTCAGAATGTGTTTGACCTTGTCAAATATGGGCATGGTGTCATTCGCATCGTCGACAAAGGTCGACGACGTCCTCAATATAGCTGGTAAAGT